CAGTGGCCCTCCTCTTTGTCCAACCCTCTCTTCTTCAGCATTCTGCCACACAAAGCCTCACCATCTCAGTGGCTCTGAACCCTGATTTCTGCCTTCTTAACTCACAAAGCTGTCACTCAGTGAGACAGCCAGGCTCTTCTTGGACTCCCCTCTGCACCAGAGTCTAGAACATGTCCTAGACAGAAAGCCAGAGTAAATTGGGGAATGACCTTTTGTGTTTCTCTTCTTTTAAGGGTCACAGTCCTGTGCTGTCTGAAGTGTAGTCCAGTGCCTAAAAAGAGTTGCTTCATATACTTTTTTATCCAGATTTATTGTATTTTATGGCAGAAAAGATAAGTCTATTTCTAGGTACTCTGTCATGGTCCAAATCACAGATCCTATACAACAGTTTTAAGTCCTATTAATAATTATGAAGGTTTTCTGGCTATATAGAAAAGTGTTTGTGTATGTGTATCCAAACATACAGGAAGAGAACTTGAAAAATTAAGAATTGTTAATTGATTAGGATATTTAAACTAAAGGTCAGATTTCAGATTTTTCTGTTACTATAATTGTGACTGTGTAATAAAAATGACTTTGTTATGGAATTAAAGATTATTGAAATAGTTTTAGGTTGAAACTATTTAACTTTATTTCTTCCTTTTACTTTAGAATATTTTATTTTTAATTTCACTAGGCACCTAATACATTCCTTAAATTTATCTTTAAACTCTATTCTGTAATAACACTTTTACATACACAGTAAATGACAAAGACAAAAACATTTTATATGCATAGTTTACACTGGGTACTTTGTTTTATATCTAACTGTTAAAAATTATAATAGGAAGTGGCACCACATTCAGCAGAGTTTTCTGTAAGTAGGATCCTCAAAAACATTAGTACCCCAGCTAAGTGACTGGAGAGTGTGTGTGTGTTTTAACTTTTTGAAACCAAACCAAATGCATGATTATTTAGACTGTTATTCCCATCAACTTAAAGCTAATCAAGGAACCATCATTCAGTTGTAATATGTATCAGTTCAGTTCAGTCACTCAGTCATGTCCAACTCTTTGCGACCCGATAGACTGCAGCACTCCAGGCTTCCCTATCCATCACCAACTTAGGGAGCCTACTCAAATTCATGTCCATTGAGTCGGTCCAACCATCCAACCATCTCATCCTCTGTCGTCCCCTTCTCTTCCCACCTTCATTCTTTTCCAGCATCAGGGTCTTTTCCAATGAGTCAGTTCTTCGCATCAGGTGGCCAAAGTATTTTAGTTTCTGCTTCAGAATCAGTCCTTCCAATGAATATTCAAGGTTGATTTCCTTTAGGATTGACTGGTTTAATCTCCTTGCAGTCCAAGAGACCCCCAAGAGTCTTCTCCAACACCACAGTTCAAAAGCATCAATTCTTTGGCGCTCAGCTTTCTTTATAGTCCAACTCTCACATCCATACATGACTACTGGAAAAACCATAGCTTTGAAGAGACAGACTTTTGTCAGCAAAGTAATGTCTCTGCTTTTTAATATGCTGTCTAGGTTGGTCATTGCTTTTCTTCCAAGGGGCAAACATCTTTTAATTTCATGGCCGCAGTCACCATCTGCACTGATTTTTGAGCCCCCCAAAGTAAAGTCTGTCACTGTTTCCATTGTTTCTCCATCTATTTGCCGTGAAGTGATGGGACCAGATGCCATGATCTTAGTTGTTTTTTTTTTTTTATGATCTTAGTTTTCTGAATGTTGTTTTAAGCCAACTTTTCACTCTCCTTTTTCACTTTCATCAAGAGGCTCTTTAGTTTTTCTTTGCTTTCTGCCATAAAGATGGTGTCATCTGCATATCTGAGGTTATTGATATTTCTCCTGGCAATCTTTATTCCAGCTTGTGCTTCATCCAGTCCGGCATTTCGCATGATTCATTCTGCATATAAGTTAAATAATCAGGGTGACAATATACAGGCTTGACATACTCCTTTCCCGATTTGGAACCAATCCATTGTTCCATGTCCAGTTCTAACTGTTGCTTCTTGACCTGCATACAGATTTCCCAGGAGGCAGGTCAGGTGGTCTGGTATTCCCATCTCTTTAAGAATTTTCCACAGTTTGTTGTGATCCACATAGTCAGAGGCTTTGTACTATGTATATAGAAGAAATATAAAATCGCACACACACAGACACATATGAACTGAACTCATAGGACTTATGACTACTCCAAAATTATGATTTTATTCTACTAGCCATGTTGTGAAACTTTTCTTTTTAAAAATCCTGTCTTTTTAAGATTTTTTTTTCTCAATTTCAAGTTTTCAGGAAAAATACTCAATATATTTTATATTTTCTTCTCAGTTCTCTTTTTTAGGAAAACATATATTCTTTTTTATTATAAAGATTGCTGGGTTTTCCCCCAACGGATAATGTAAAGTTTTAATGACCATTGTTATTAACATATCATATACATACAGTATAGTTCTTTTATAAATATTTTTAAATTATCTCTAATTGAAGCAGCTTTAAAATATTAAGGAAATTTTAAGGCAGTTACTCTTTTTTTAACTTTTTATTTTGTATCGGGATGTAACCAAGTAACAATGTTGTGATAGTTTCAGGTGAACAGTGAGGAAACTCAGCCATACATGTACATGTGTCCATTCTCCCCCAAACTCTTCTCCCCTCCAGGCTGTAAGGCAGTTACTCTTAATTCCACAATTCTACTATAATTGTTTTTATTTTATCCAGTGTGTGTGTGTGTGTGTGTGTGTGTGTGTGTAGTTGTGATTATAATACATATGCAGTTTGGGGACCTGCATTTTAACTTCATGTTATTTCATATATACTTTTCCATATTGTTAAGTAACCTTCATATGTGTCATTTTAAATGTCTGCATAATATTCTTTTAAGTTACAATAATTTTTCCATTATCCTATCACTGGGGTTGTTTACAAATTTTTGCTATTATATTTGGTATTCCAGTGAATACTGTTGTATAGTTACTTCTCTGTTTTAGTGGCTTCATTACAATAAATTCCCAGAAGTATAATTTGCAAGTCAAACAAATAAACTATTTTCTTCCTTCAGTTGTGGTGGTGGTGGTTGTTAAATACCTGCTTATTTTCAGCTTGTTTGTTAGTTAGCTGTCTCTATGCTTAAATTCTATTATAATTGTATTTATTATAAACCTGAATGATTCTTATTGCTGTCTGTTGGGCTTGGGTATACATGAATCAGACTCTTCTAATGTAAGAACAGCCATAAAGCAGCAGGTCTGGAGGAAGTCCCCATAAATACAGTAGAAACATTTTATAGGTTTCTGAGGGGATTCTGTAACTATATAGTGGAAAATCTGTTCAGTTGGGGCTTAGGGTATAATATTCTCCTCACTTAGCAGTTAAGAAAATGAAGCAACATAAAAAACAGTGTAAGGAAGTTAGAGCAATTTAAGAAATAACTGAATCTATTAAATACTCAGGAAGAAGCAAGTTTTACAATTTTAAACAAATGTGTAACGCTAAAAACCACATATACTCTCTTTGTCTCAGAGCTTGATTTTTTAAACAGGAAAATTGACTGTTCTATTTTCCTAGAAATTTATAGATGAGAAACTTATCCCCAGCTTTAGTGATACTATTTTTTCAACAAATGACTTCATGCTTTTAATGTCGTAACTGTCATCTAATAATATTCTCTGTAATTTTTATGTACAGAATATAAAATGTACTTATCAGCTCCAAGTTATATATATGTTGCTCACATATGTTAAAATAAGTCAAAGGAAAAATTTGTCCCAATCTCATTCATTAAAGCAAGTGATAAAGCTGTTAAGTGATTATTTGGTTTGTAAATAATTGGGTTTTTTAAATAGCTGTGGTTAAATTTTCGTCTTTGAAACTGTAATTTCTACATTATCATATACTTTTCCTAGGAATTTCAGTATATTGGTTCTGATTCGTCTAATAAGTAATTTCTCACCTTTCACAGGTGTATTTGTAATCAAGTCACTAGACTATACCCTGTCATATCTAATTGTATAAGCATGACTTAAAATAGTACCAAGCTTGTCATCATTCCACCCAAAGCAACCCCTTATTCTGACATTGTTGCCCCCACTTTCCTCAGTACTCAGTTTTAATACCTTAAAATCATTCCTGACTCTCAGTCTTCTCTCCCCTCAATATCTAGTTAATCTCCAGATCATAACTCCCTGTATTCTTCCTTTCTGTTTTCCATTACTGCCACCTTAGTCCTGAGACTCATTACTTCTATACCACTGCAACAGACTTGAATTTTGCATATGTGATTTTATTGCTTAGAAAAGTGGTTTATTCCAGGAAACTGCATCACTTACTTATAGTCTTACCTTTAGCAAAAAAAAAAAAAGAAATGCAGATTTTGTAAAAAACAAAACAAAAAAATCACCTTTTTTTGTATAAAGATGTTATTTCTATTTAAAGAAAGGTATTTTAGTAGCAGAAAATAATATTCTCTCATATAGAGTAAATTATGAACCTGAAAATACTTATTTCTAGAAAGTGCCAGATCTTAGAAGGATAACCTTCGAATATGCTGTGTCAAGTAGTCTACCATTTAAACATAAGTAAATCCATACACAGAAATTAAGGCAGCTAATAAGAAAAGTATAAAAGGAATATTAAAAAACTTTTAAAGAATGCCCTGTTCATAAATTAACAAAAAGATTAAGCTTTAGAATAAAACACAGGAAACCATGTCAGTACCCAGATAAACAGGCCCCATAGTGCTCCTGGGACATTACTTCAGCAATCATTTCCAAAAGGTGGCTGGGGCTTGCAACGCAACCAAAGTTAAACAGAAGAACTGTAGGAGTTCCAGGATTATACCAGCACTATCAGAAGGAACATCTGACACAAAATGTATTCATTTGATATGGGATTTGTTTGTATCCTTTGTCTTTAACTAATCTAGAATGAAAGATGTATCCCTTAGCACTCTTTTTCTGCCTTCTTCAATTATAAAACACATTTTATAATCTTTATTTTTTTGAAAGGGATCACATGAAGTGGTCAAAAGAAGAAGAAGAAGCGGCCAGAAAAACAGTGGAGGAGAACTCAGCGGTGCGAGTCCTTTCTGAAGAGCAAGGTAAGCAGCTGTACGCAGCTCCCGGAGCCCGGCTTTTCCGTCTGACCTCCCTCTGGCTCCGTTCACGCCGCAGTCTCTTTTCCTCCTAACTGTGTCACCGTTTCAGAGAGCTCTGAGCTTCTGCCTATGCTAATTTACTTGTTCCTTTAGGAGAATTCCCAGTCATTCCAGTGTAGTGAAACCAAAGTTAATGAAATAAATTACATACTTACCCTATACGAACTTGCTCTTTTGATAGTTATATTATTGCTTTCTCTGGGAGATAGGTAACGGTGGCATTTCAAACAAGATAGGAGAACACAATTTTAAAATTTTCCTTGTTGTTATCTTTTAGTATGCTATTGTGCATTTCAACTGCTGGGAATATTCAATGAATTCAAATATATTCATATATCAAAAGAAGGTAAAGTCATATCAAAATGTTGCTGGTCTTTTAAGATGAACACAAAGTTTCAATAACAATTTAAGCTATTTTTCTTGGAGGCCTTTGATATTTAGAGTTTAATTTAGGTAAGGCCTTGCCAACCTTCAAAAATGGTCTCTAAAATATTGCCCTACTGTGTAATCACCAAGCCAGAAAATAGTAAGTATGGGTGAAGATGTGGAGAAATGAAACCCTTTTGCACTAATGGTATAATTATAAAATGGTGCAACCTCTGCTGACAACATGTAAGTTCCTCCAGAAATTAAAAATGGAACTACCATATGATCTGACAGCCCCACCTCTGGATATATAGCCAACAGAATTGAAAGAGATACCCAAAAGGTCTTGAAGGAATATTTGTATACCTTCATTCATAGCAACACTATTCACAGTAGGCAAAAGGTAGAAATAGCCCAAATGTCCAGCAGATAAATCGATAAATAAAATGTGGCTTATTCATATGGAATATTATTCAGCCATAAAAAGAAATGGAATCCCTGTCCCATGCCATATAATCTGGATGAACTTTGAGGACACTATGTTAGGTGAAATAAGCTAGTCACAAAAAAGGCAAATACTATATGAGTCCACTAATATGAGGTATCTAAAGTAGTCAGATTCATAGAAACAGAAAGTTGAATGGTGGTTAGCAAGGGCTTAGGAGAATGGGAAACAGAGTTGTTGTTTAGTGAGTATAGGGTTTTGGATCTGCAGGATGAAAAAGTTATGGGCATCTGTTTCACAGCAATGTAAATACACTTAGCATTGCTGGACTGTTCACTTACAAATGGTTAGGATGGTGAATGTTATGTGTTTTTTTAACCACATTTCTTTCTTTTTTTTTAAAGACACTAAAAAAATTTTGCCTCTGTCCTTCTCACTGAGTAGCTGGGAACCCACAGACAGTTGGCCCAACCCTTACACTCTTCTAGAGAGGATTTTCTGCTTTGTTTTTCTTAAATGATTTCTCCTTTAAAACAGGTTGTTTTGTTTTCTTTAAAGAAAATACAGTTTATTGATATACCAAATACCCACAGAAATTAACACAATTTATAAATGAGTTTTCACAAAACTCAGTGAATTTTCCCAATACCCTTATTAAGAAACAGAAAATTATCAGTAATCCAGAAATTTCCTCATGCTGTGTCCCAATTACTTTCCTAAACCCCTAAGACTCCACAAAGAGCACCCGCTATTCTGGCTTCTAATACCATAAGTTAGTTTTTCCAGAACAACTTGGTTCTGGTCATCATCATTTCTCAATCACTCATGTAGCAATATCAGTGTACCTGTTAGATAGAACAAGAGGCAGCAAACTGTGGCCATGGGTCAAATCTAGCCCACTGCCTGTTTTTATAAATAAAGTTTTATTGGAGCACATACTCATTTGTTAACATTGCCCATAGCTGCTTTAGAGGTGTATCTAAAGAGTTGAATAGTTGCAAAAGAGTCTATATAGCCCACACAGACTACTTACTGTCTGGCCCTTTACAGAAAAAGTTTGCCAGCCCCTGAGATAGAATTTTGTTTCCACATTGATCAGCTGTCCTGAAACTCCCCAGGGAAAAATGTTTGCATTCCTCCTCTGTTCAAGCCAAGTATAGTAAAAATCACTAATCCCACTGGTAGTTAACTATTGTTCTGGTGACTTTAGTCTACACTTGAGGCTAAAGTTTGAAGCAAAGGGTACTGTTGAAACTGAGCTAGTGAAATAGCCCTCATTAACTGCCCTTTACCAGTGAAGAGGGCAGTGTCGCTCTATCTTATCCTCTGGTATCATTTGCTGTCCCTCAGAGCTAGTTTTCCTTCCTTACCGTAAGCATGAATGTGTCCTGAAGGATGGACAGGAGGGAAGAGCACCTGATCCACAGTGGAACCATTCTATTTTTATGAGCTCCAGCCATGCAGTCCCAGAATGGGATGTGGCCAGGGAGTGTTGGGGTTGGATTTGAGAGTGCATACCAGTGGCAATTCTGCTTACAAATCAGCCAACATTGCATTCCTTTGCAGGAACTCTGTCACACTGTTTCTGAGGAAGTATAATTTTGCTTCTTTGCCAGCAGCTGCACAGACATATTTTCCACATTACTCAAGCTTCTGCTAGTGGCCACCTGGATATGACAGAGAGAATCAAGCCTAAACAGAATTAAAAGATATCAGTCATCTTAATTCTTTTCCAGGAAGTTAAAAATTATCCATAGTTTATTTCCTGAGAATATGAAAAACCAAGGATTTTTTTTTCATGCTCTTTTGAGTATTTCTGTTTAGAACATAAATAGATGAGCAGTGCTGATAATGTTCCCTTAAAGTGCTCTATATGTGGCTGCCTATTTTGGCCTATTTATGTTAACAATGAACTTGAGTGAAGCTAATGAGGAGGTTATTTTCGGGCCTTGGAAACCGCAGTAAAGGAAAATGACAGTTCCCACAGAACCATAATGTGACTGAAATAGAAAGGTGGTGACTGGCCTTTCTCTACAGAAGCAGGAAAAGCAAGCTGGAGAGGGCTGATGATACTCCTTTGAAGCATTTGGTTTGCTTATTAGCATGTCCAGTCTCTTTCTGAGCAAGTTTTCTGGCTGCTGTGGAGACACAGAACAAAAGAATTCATTTAAAAATGCCTCCCAGTGATCGAGGCTTCTGTTGGGTCCCTACCCGCATAACACTACTCAGTGCAGTGGACTTTATACATGTCAGAGAACCGCTACAAGGAGAGGAACCCACAATGAGGGTGGCCATTACATCACACTTAAGCAAGGTTGCCCAGAGCAGCAACCAAGGCAGCTGCTGAGGGTGGCAAAGAAAGAGAGAAAACTTCTGTCCTGAGGAACCATGTTGAGTGACAGGACGTTACAGTGAGACCAGGTACATACCCAGCCACCCACTCCAGTCTCCACCAGGGATCATCAACCTGCAGGTCTGCAGAAGCCCTTGGTGAGGCTCCTCAATGGATATTTAATGTCTCTGATGAATATGGGTCAAGGTGAAGAGATCCATTTAAAAGCTCTATTCCCAAACGTTGTGAAAGCCCAAAGGAAGCTGTGACCCGGTTCTTCTCCCACTGCCCCTGTCAACCACAGTCTCTCTTGTTTTTTAATATATATTTATTTTTATTTGTTTGGCTGCATGGGTTCGTAGTTGTGGCATGTGGGATCTTATTCCCCAACCAGAGATCAAACCCAGGCCCCCTGCATTGAGAGCACAGAGTCTTAGCCACTGGACTACCAGGGAAGTCCCTACCATCTCTTCTTATCCAGGAGAGTCCTAAATCTTTGAAAAAGCCAATTTTCTCTCATCACAAAGCATTCCACTTACAGAATAGTATATAGTATGAGCCTTGCTTATTGATCTTATCTTACTTATTTCAATGCCCCTAGGAGGAGGGACTGCTGGTTCTCCCACGCTGACCAGCTCTCTGGCACCTTCCTTTTGGTCTCTGTGTATGTCAGTCTCCCCTGTCACTCCCATTTCCCATTTCTCATCTATTGTCTCAGCTGTTGGTGAGAACTGAAGTCCGGAAACACCCTCACAATTCTGAAAATAAGAACTTATCCGTCACAGATGAGACAGTCTTTTGCTGTACAGTGGCTGACATTTTCATCCTGTGATTAAAATGTAAAGCATCTAGGCTATCATTAGCAATGTTTCTTTCAGTTAGATGCTCAGATTAATGATTTGTGATTCCGCATTTCCTTTTGGTAATTTATTTTAAATTTTATAATAGCTTAGATTTCTTTTTAAAACAGATTAATTCAGAGAAATGAGAAAGATACATTTGGCAGTTTTTGAGTTAATATGATTATATTTTTAATTTCCTAAAAAATTTCCAGTGTGTTATATCTCAGCTGGTACTTTAGCAAATGTAATGGGTTTTTTAAACTTAATAACAAATGCAGCTGCTATTTTTACTTTAAAATACCCTTGTAAATAACTGTCTACCTAGAGTGAGTTGCCTATGTCAAGAAAAATAGTAAAAGAATCCCACTATACCTTCCTTTGTGAATACCTTGACACTTGAGAGTGTCCTATGTGAGAAAAAAAATAGAGTAGCTTAAAGTTTTGTGTGCTGATAAATTTAGAGTACTTGTTTATAGGTCAGCTTTGGTTGTTAATTTCATACTGTTCTCAGACTTTAAATTTCATAACTTTAAGAGTTTTATTTTATTAGACAATTAACTTTATCAATGACGTGGAAATTTCCAACTTTGAGAGCTTAGGTGTTTGTGTAATTGATGTACAAAAACAGCTTTAAAATGACTTTTGTTACATTGCAACTTAGAATAAATTTTCATAATTTGTACTAATATGTCAAATACATAGATGGTTTAATTCAGTTTTTTTAGTTGTGATATTCAGTGTGATTCAGAGTGAATTCTGAATATTTAAGTATGGTTAGTGTGTCATAGTCTTTCTTCCCCTCAGCAGTATTGAATTTAATAAATGAATAATTGAGAAGTTGTTTCATCTGACTGTGGTTAAACAGATCACTACACCCCTTTTATCGCCGTTGGCATAGAGCAATTAACTCTGAGCTGGTAACCTAGGAAAGTAAAGGGAAATTTTTCTCCTCCAGGAA